CCTTAGGCCACTTGTTACGCTGTCTCTTTTTGGGCTGTCCCTTTTCTCAAAAAGGGACAAATGACCAAAAAGGGACAGGATGGGGTGATCTTTTTTCGCTGGCCCTTTTCGGGAGGTTCAAAAACGCAAAAAAAGACCACGTAACAAGTGGTTTTTGGTCAGTTGTCCCTTTTTGAGAAAAGGGACAGCCCAAAAAGAGACAGCGTAACAAGTGGCCTTTAGACTAGACAAAAAATTCTACATGCATGCAACCGCAAACAGAAACTAACCAAGTGCTTTTTAAGTGACATTATACAAATTACCCCAAACCAGCAGTATGGATCGGTTTGTTTCACCACGAAATACTGTCTTGCCACTTAACATACGACGCCCTCACGCTACAGAGTACAGCACCGAAGACCGAAGACAGCAGCACCTGCTCAAAGTCGCCACCGTGCAATGCGTATACTCTCCGTCATACGAATGAATGGATTCATCCAAACTCGTCATCTCCTTCGCCATTCTTTGGTAGCCTTCATCTTCTCTCCCCCAAGACCACCCCATCACCAGTACCAAACCATGGCAATCAGGCCTCTGCCCTGCATTGAGCACCGTCGCGTACGGATCGACCTCCATTTGTCACACTGCTGTATGTTCTCTCCGTCGCCCCTGCTGTGGGGGCTCCGTGAGCGAAAAGGTTCCAATTTTGAACCGTTATATTTGTTCTCTTTTCATCTGTGCATCCGCGACGTACTGCTGTGTCGTGCGACAAGTAGATACATTGGTGGGTGGCACCCCGTCGACCGACACCTCTTGGTCATGAGCAGTGCTGATGCGATGTATGACATCGAAGGAGGTGGTTCGGATCGAGTACAGCAAGGGTACCGGATTGAGCCGCTCAACCGCCTCGCTTTTCCGAAAGGCAAGATTCCCAGATGCGAGATCTCGGGCCAGGCGGCAACTGTCGCCTGTATCACGCCGCACATCACCCTTTACTACGCTACTGAGGAGCAGGCGGAGCAGGCATGGCACGGTAAGGCTATAGATCTAGGAGCCCTTAGGATCATGATCATTTGTGAATTTATTGTGTTCGCCGCATCGAGGGTCGCATGTAGGTTAACAGCTGCGAGAGTTTGGTTTGAAGCCAGTGCGCTGTACACACCACATGAACATAGACCTTCCTTGGCGCTTCCAACGCGCGTCAGTAGTGCTGCAAAATCCTGGATGCGTCGCATGTGTACTGAATGTGTCATGGCTCATTTTAGCGTATAGTGGTCCGGCTGTACACAGACTAAGATGATGTTTGTGCTTCCTCGTCATCCTTGCCCCCAAGCAGGGATCATGCACAAGATAGCGCCGTTGATCGGTCCACTGCGAGCGATGCCACAAATCATCGGGTCAGAAGAAGAGCGTGCGCGCCGAGAGTACACCGTTCAAATGAGCAAAAGAGCACTGATCGACTTATGCCAGCAGGAAGCATCAAAGCTTCTTGTCCAGGGACGATATGACCTCGCCGTTCCCGGTGCCATCCAGGTAAACACTCCAATTGCAAATGGTAATGTTTGACCTACAGTAGACTAGTCTAGTCTACTAGTCTACATGTACTGCTGTAGCGAATGATGATGACATGCTTACGAAGAGCTTGTTCACATCTACTGTATCGGCATGTACATATGTAGCAGTCGGGACGATAATCTCCCTCCAATCACCGCCATTCGTCTCTAGGCTCTCGCGTTCTCGAAGGAAATATTCGGGGATGGCAGTATCGAGACGGTTCCACCGTACCTCCTCCTGTCAGAGGCGAACTTGGGGTTAGGGCTGCTTCAAAGCGCCGAGGGATTTCTCTCGATGGCCAACTGGTCGATCCTGAAGACGCCCCAATGCAGCAATGCCATCCGAAGTCAGGTGATGCTGTGAAAATCTCACGGGGAGGAGTAGCGAGAGAACAGCGAGACCAGATCTTGAGCAACTCAAGCACCAGCGAAATCAAGGCAATACAAGAGGTAGTCACCACACACAATTTGGGAAGCTCTCTGGGGTTGGGCTCACTGAGTTTTTCACAACGAGGCTCTCGCTTCGTCATTTCCGAACACCACGACTTTGTCATCAATATGCATAACAACGAACGATGTTTCCACTCAATATACATGAACAGCTGCATCGGAACTTTGGAAAGCTACACACTGCACAAAACAAACTCGATGAGGCGCTGGATGATCTCAGCAAAGACGTTTACTGCTCTTCACTGGAAGTGGGACCGGAGCACATCGACACATCAGCCGGATTTTTCCTGATTGCCAACATTTTTTACGCCCAGAGAAAGGTAACGTGGAAGACCTATGCCCTTCGGAAATTTAAGGTAGGAACCCAATTGACAAAGACGGTGCTAAACATCGTGATGGGTTGTCTTGTGAACCCATGACGATAGATAGCAGCTCCTGGCTTTGACGACGCCCAATCGGTCCTTATGTTGATCACCAACAACGAGCAGGTGCCACCCTGAACGGCGCTTCAACCCGCACTGCAAAATCTCAACACGAGACTTACTGTAGTGGCAGAGTACGGTCCTCGTTTCATGTGCTTCTTTTTAGCGTACGCGTTCTGTTCTCAGGAATACCTCTCGTCAACTTTAGAGGGCTTTGGCACCACCCCGACACCGCTGTATACAGTACGCAACGCACAGAACACAGCTCTGTGTACGAAATCGCACCACATCTGAAAGGTGTATGTAGACAACGGCTAAGAAAGCAGGCCGGGCGAAAGCAGCTTGTATCCAGTGCACTCTCTGCTCGCGCAGGCCTGTTCATGTTATTTCCAGTCTTAATCGTTCGGGTGCGTGAACACCTTTTAAGCTACGCATTCTCGTGTGGGGTTGGTTTATGTATTACCCTGCCGGAAAAATGAAGGTGGAGAGCTCCTTGGCCTTTTACGATAAAGTCGTCGACATCTGGTATAAGTTCTTGGCGAGCGTGCGCAACGACGCTAACCTGGCCGAGAATGTGGGAAAGGCGCAGTTGTCCGAAGGAATTGATATGCTCACACGAGTGCTCAACACACGGGTCAACTTGCTTGGAGATACCCACATCGCCACGGTAAGGGAAATGGTCCTTGCGTGATTTTCACCGTCCGTCGTCTTATCAAGAGCGCAATGGCTTGACACACTCTCTTACCAGGACCTTTATTCGGATACGGGCTGGCGTTGGTTTTCATCAACTTTCTTTCGGGGGACCATACCGTAGGGGCACTCACACTTGGGCGCGATGAGTGCATTGGAGCGTATGATGCAGACGACAATTACATGCACGGAGGAATCGGATAGAGGCGAGCGCTAGAAGAGAAGGGAAGGTGTCTTGTACTTACGCCGCTCCGGTGAAAGAGGGGGTGCTTGAAGAAGATTCGACTTCTGGTCACCCCTGTGAGGGGTCATTTTTACACCGTCTTCGGACTAATGGAGTTACCTGATCAAACCCACGGGACGCCTTTGCAAATGAGACTTGTGCCGCCTCGTTTCTTGCGTGCTATCGCGGTCTGTCCATCGCTGAATGGTTCATCTGCCTAGCGCATGGCTGGCCATCATCTGGTTTCGCTTGTTTGCCGCAAAGGAAAGCCGGGGGCGGAGTTTGGGAAGTTTAGGGGTCGAATACAGCGCTCGGAAAAGATGAGATATTCTCGTGACTGACGGGGGTAACCTTAAGGAAGTCCTGTGGTCCTAACGGGCGGGAGGGTACATACGATCTTGCTTCAGCTTGACGAACGTATGTACTCATGTGCTGCTGGACTCAGGGTGAGGCACGATGCACTTTGGGGCTGCTCCACCTGTTCGTTGCGGACAAGCCGGCGGCAATTGATCATCTTACCTTAGCGTCTGAGATCTACACCCAACAGCTGGTGAGTGGTGGCGGATACGTAAATACTATCGTACGAATTTCGTAAGAAGAACGACGAAGCACCGAGCCTTTCTCGTATGCACCTACTCTTCTGCGCGCAATGCATTGTTTACACAGGCAGTAGACCACTGCCTGCGCCTCGAAGTGTTGCCGTGAGAGGCACGTGAAAATCGATCCAGGTCAGGCTTTGGCCGACCGATTTCCTCCCCGCCGGCAACCCCTGCACGAAATGGCAGCCAGTGACCGTGAGGCTCACTGCCGCATTTTCCCGCATTCCTAACGCCGGGGTACAACAACCGGTCGCCCCGGTGGTCTAGTGGGTAACCTCGCAGCCTGCTAAGGGCCAGGTCATAGGTTCCAGTCCCGGCAGAGTGAGTTTTTGTCTCACTAAATATATCCTGGTCTAGGATGAAAGCGACGCGTTGCAAAGCTCGTTGTTAGTAAACCATAATCGACTTCGTAAGTCGCGAGGGAAGGGATTGCTGCACCCTTCTGGCGATAAAAATACCTCAGGCAGGAACCGCAGGAGGGGGCCCAGCCCCCCCCTCCTATGTGACCCCGGTTGGGTCGTCTAGCGAATAGAAGTGGAGGATAGAGGCCAGAGGGGCAGACGACAGAATCCGATGATAGGAGAAAAAAAAGAAAGTACTGCCCGCTCGATGAAGTAAATGACAGGCAAGCACGTTTTTACCCGAACCCTCCCGCTTTCGTTTCAGTACATTTTCCTGATGTTGCCGCCCTTTTTCGGGTTCACCGCTTGATCGAAACCTTAGGGGAGTGACCACGCGTCTACTCAGGATGTCGTGGATATCCTTGTGCAGCTAGGCGGTCCTCGGCCCCGGCCTCCCGGTCTCGAAGTAGGAAGCACCGGCGAGAACAACAACAACAACGGTGAAGACGTCGGTTCACCGGCAACACCCACGGTAGACGTCGAGAAAGAGGGAGAAGAGGCGAGTGCCGGCGAGGGAGAGTTGGGAGACCAGGTGGCATCGCAGCTGTCGACGCAAGACTCGGGCGCATCGTTGCTGAGCCAGTTCCCGCCGACGCAAGAGATGCCCCGAGCTGTGATGCAGTCTCCGATACCGCTCCCGCCCGGTGGAGAACCAAGAGTCCAGCCCGAACCGGATGATGACGCGATGCGCATGTCTCCTCCTGCGTCAGCCGGTTAATATTCGCACCTAGGACGTGCCTAGCCCACACCACGTAGGTTTATCGCCCGGGTAACCTCTTTTCTGAGACATACCTTGGCCCGAAGAAGCGTTGAGATTTATTGTTTTCGAGCCCTCAACATTCGCATGTGGCCAAGGGTACCCAGATTTTTTCTTCCTCAACACGTGGTACCCATTGTCTTGTTTTGGAGATTTTCTAGGGGGGGGTACCGGTGGTCGTAGTTCCTGTACAAAGCATGGGGATTCCGCCGGGACAACGAGGTTTGCGTCCGGGCACCCCTATGCGGGAGCTAAGATCCTCTCTTGCAAACCCTTAACTAAGCCCATGATCACAGAACGGGCGCTCGGCACATCGAGAGACCACCTCACCTGCTCAAAGTGAGTGAAACGTCGTCACTACATAGCACACGAGGTGCCCCCCACCAGCGACTTGCTTGATGTGGACTCTAAACCCCAAGGCAAACAAATTGAAAACACAAAAACCGGGCCTCCGGGGGGGATGCGGGATGCTTAGGAATGCGGGATAACTTTTCCGGGTACCCTTTGTTAGCGACAGAAGATCGATTTGTCTGGGGTGGGGCGGCGCTGATCCAGCCGACCACGTCGATGAATCCGCATCACAACACTTGTGTGTGTCGACCTAATGATTAACATTCGAAGAGATCCAGCGAACACAGCAGGACTGCATCTGAGTGATGTGCTTGCGTGACGAGGCCGTTCGTGGTTTCGTGGTGCGGGCTGGCCGGCGAGCCTTGGGGATGGCACGAACAGCGAATTTTTTCGCGACAGGCATCCAACACGTTCTGAAACTTCAACATCAAACTTTTAGCGATTTCGATCTAAAGAGACGCGGGTATCAACACCGGTCCCAGAAAAGAGGAAAATAAGTCGAAAAGCGATCCCTCAACCCGCCCGTTAACGCCGTCCCCGGCAAAAAAACAAAAAACAAACAAACAACGCCCGCCGAATGAAGAGGGGTGCAAATTTCCAGCTCCAGCCTCCCCCCCCCCCCCCCCCCCCCCCCCCCCCCCCCCCCCCCCCCCCCCNCCGCCCCCTCCTCCCCACCCCCGGCCAAATGCGTCACACACGCGGGCCGAACTCCTGAGTTGTTGAAGTAGAGCGAAGCAACGCACGCCGCAGCTGCAAAGTTGGCATATCTGAATCACCCATGGAACACCCAAACTCTCCAAGCCGACAGGAGACACATGATCAATCTGACGAACCGTGCACCCACTATCTTATTACGAGGCACGGTGTCTTACTCTCTGCAAGCCATTGTTGCACTTAAAGCCAGCATGTCCCCCGCTTCTTCTCGCATGCTGTTGGGCGCGATCGATCCGCGCCGCTTAAAAAGGTTCCGGCGCTACAGCGTGGTGTGTTCTACCGCTACTTCTACAAGTCATGGCACGGGCGGGCTTACAGATCCGCGGTAAATGATCGCGGAATGGAACACCTTAATGAAGAGGTGCGTAGAAAAAAACATATCCTTGAAACGTACACAACGCCCTTTAGACCCAGACATGAAAAAAGGAAGAGGCTAAGCCGCATGATAATATAGCAAGATTGCGCTTGGCAATTGTGCAACGGTCACCAACTATGGCAAGCAGCAAGCATGTACATGGTAATCAACAAGCAAGCATGTACATTAGTATGCGGGCTTCAGGAAAAAGCGGGGCTGGCTCGCGGTTGAAGCTGGAACAAAAAACAACAGGACAGCAACCAACCCTCTCCCCACGTGTCAAACCTTAAAACTACACCTAACTACAGCATCAACGACCGAATCTATATGCCTAACCGCATACACTACGTACACAGCACTTGCCCCGCCCGCTTCCAGAAATCGTCCAGTCCTTCCTCCGACACTCTTGTTCAACGCACGACGCGTGTCGGGCCTTTACTCTTAGGAATCTGTCGCCGAAACGCTTCCCCCTCTGCCCTTTGGACGGGCGCACAGAAGCCGTACATAGCAAGCAGCACTCACACAAACCCGTCCAGCGTCCCCCCCCCCCGTNCCCCCCCGTCCCGGTCGTCAAATTACATCACCGCGCAGCTCCAGCCGCCCCCTTCCTCGTCCGCCGCCCCGACTCCGCCGCCTCCGAATCTGAACAAACCGCCCCCCAACCCCGAGCCGCCGCCCTTCTGGCCGTTCCTGTCGGAGTTCCCGCTGCGGGCCCGAGAGGATGGGCGAGCCTTCTTAGCTCCCGATCGAAGGCGCGTGGTCATGGGATCCACTCCTCCCGAGGGAGAGGCGCGCTTGCGGGACGCCGATGCCGCCGCCGCCGCCGCCGCTCCCGGCCCCGGCGGGGTCTTCGCCGCCGGGCTCTTAGCGCGGGGCCGCAAGGGCCCGTTGCGCTTCGGTGTGGGCTTGGGCTTGGGCTTGGGCTTGGGCTTGACGGTCGACGAAGAGGCGGGGCGCTTGGCCGCCGCCGGCGGAGGTGGACGAGACGTGGAAGACGGATTGGCCGCCGCGGCNGGGGGGGGGGGGGGGGGGGGGGGGGGGGGGGGGGGGGGGGGGGGGGGGGGGGGGGGGGTACTCGTCGGGACGCTGGTCGTGGGAAGAGCGGATTCGTTTGTTGCCTGCCTTGGTAAGGCTGGCGGCCGCGACAGCCGGAGAAGGGGAGCGTAACTTCCCAACTCCTCATTGAAAATAAGATATGCAACGTTTAGTATTCCGAGTAGTACTTAACTCCGGCGTAAGATTTATGTGGCGTCTTCAGACACAACACGACAGCGAGAAAGGACAAAAAACTGCTCTGGCGGATTGATGAAAAGGTTTCTAGCTCAGACGAGGATATAATGGGCTCAAAATCGCCGCTCTTGCCATTCCGTGCGTCAGCTGTGGATTGATTGGATGCCTTTTTCGATGGGCCCGTCTGTGCAATGGAACAGCAGTATCAAGAACACCGCAAGGCGACCTCCAAATCTGTTTTCAAGCGCGAGTGATCCTCCAAAGAGCGAGTTTGCAAGAGAGATACGTCTCCACGCTAACCGGGTAAAGCCATCATGACACTCGAGTGAGAACGAGAAGACGGTCCGTGGTAAGTTTGGAACTTAAAACCTAATTAATTCTGATTTTTAGTCCGGAAAGCCACCTCGACAGGGTTGAAGAGCACTGACAGCACAGAACCGGATAGAACATGATGGGTACCATAGTCGGCGTTCGATCCAAAGGTGGCACGGTGGACTGGGAAAAGCGTTTGAGTGCGAAGTACGTCGCGGGTACTGGGCAAAAATCTGCGGGTGTCACACAGCGCATGTATGCACACAGGACAGTTCAGTTACAATCGCTACCTTTTCTTCGCGGCGAACTGGACCATCTAACCAAAGAATATATTTGGCAACAACACAGCAGATTTTGACCACGCTTGCCTACGGGGGAGCGATGGAAACCGCACCAACAGTGGTGAAGTTGTCGTAGATGGTATTGCGACGAGCAGAGTGGTAAAAAGCTGTGCACGAGTATATTCCAGATCTTCAAGATCCCTGGGTGTTGGCGAAAAAAAAGGCAACACATCACCAGAACCCTCCCCACTCCCCACACACACCTGTAGAGCCATTCCCCGTCGACCTTTTGGCTGTCGATGCCGGCTTCCCTCTTGTGTTTCCTCCCTCTGATGACCTCGGTCAGCTCGTCGACCGTAAACTTGATCCCGGTTGTGCCGCTGCACGCCGCCGTGACCAGCTCTTGTCTCGTGCACCACTGGTTGGGCGGAATGGTCTCCTTGAAGCTGATGTAAAACTGGTCCCATATCTGGACCCTTCGCTCCGTCGAGATAACGGCTCGCGCGGCATGCCCGGTTAGCTTCGTAAACGGCGGCGCAAAAAAGGGGAGAGGGGAAAAGCACGATTATCGTTAGTCTAATCACTTGTCGCCCCGCCTGCTAAAGCGGACTGTGGACGGCTCCAAGCGATGCGGTTCGCTCGGCGGAACAAGGTCGGGGTCCCATGGGACAGAATGGTGTTGTCGTATTTGACGACCGTTCTACAGAAACAAACGTGGGGTATCCGACTGGCCACAAGAGTCGATCCCAACACCCCCCGGTCTTTTTGTGTGACGGTCGGCGTTCGGTGGCATCGGCAAATAGTGGCGCACCGCCGACCACCCCGCGTTCCGTGCCGGACCTCTCTCTGCAACGTCTTGTCTGGAAAAAAAAAAGGCGGGGGGATTTTGAAAAAACTGCCTGAAGTTTGACGCCAACACACCAAGGCACCAACTATCCCTGGATCTGCTGGTGGGCATATAGGGCGAACGACACGCGCCTCGCTCAACCAAGCTGGCGGGCGGGATGGCGCCAAAAGCCAGGGAGCAGTGGATCTTCAGTGCGATCCTGCCCTGTGTCCCCAAACACCAACCCCACACAACATTCTTGGCAGACAATAGAGTTAGGTCGCAAAGCATGAAGGCTTCCAGCCCTTTTCGTCATCACCTGGCCTGGAGGAGTTGGCGGCGTCATACTCCAGCACCTCGAGGTCACGTGGAACACGTCTGCGCACGTGTAAGTAGGCGAAGAGCAGGAGACAGACCCGCGCTGCTCGGCTCGACCGAACGGCGGGGGTAACACAAAATATAGCCTGAGGGGGGGGCACCTACCCCCAGTCGGGGGGGCTCCGAGAAAGATGAAAATGGATACACAACACAAACCCAGCTAGTCGCGCCCGCAAGAGGGTGAAATGTGTTGGTACAACACAGCCTCTGTGTATCGACCTGATACCGCAGAACTATGGCCGGAGCCGGTCGATCTATCGCGGCGGTGTTGTTCAGCCTCATCGGGGGCGTGATGAACGCAACGTGGTGAGCAGGGGTGTGGATGGACTCAGCAGTGTCGTTGTAGCGTATGCGTACGTATTTCACCGAGTAGACCGGATAGATAGATGAACCGCATATGTAGATATTTAGCGACGCTTCCATACTGACGGCGTACCATCGATGATCGATGGACGACGCACCCGCCCACCGCTGTATAGCTGTGGTTTGCTGGAGCAGCGTTCGCACACCCGAGCGCCGCGGCGTCCACTCTCTCGTAGCCCGTTGCTCCCGCCTCTTGCCCCGCGAATCAAGAACAAATTGGTATGCTGACATCACTCGAATGCTGCACCCAGTCAAGACATCAGACACTCAACCTTCTGTTCCCTGGTTTCATCGCCACAGGCCGCTGTTCTGCAAGCCCGAGTCACCGGAGCTCATTCGGGTGGCTACAAGTGACGGCTGGCAGTGGTGAGACACCTCGGTAAACGCCGGCATGAAAGAAGTATAGGTATATGCATACGACTACGAGTACAGCGGTTGTTTGGAATTTTTGTCTCCTGCGGAACAGCATTCTACAGCTAGAGTAGACTACAATTGGTAAAATGTCCACAGCAATACTCCTATTCGTGCTCGTGGGACAATCTCTGTGCATAGCAGGTAGCAGTTGGCCACACCGCGCGGACCTCTGCTGTCGGTTGTCTTCTCTCAAATCTGGCGAGGTTGACTCTCTCTCAAATTTGACTGTCGAATTCGAGAAAATGCCTGCCACATGTTTAATTTAGTCGCCCTGATTGTCATACCGAGCTTGACCTAGTCTACATTCTACATAAGAGAGGGGGGGTAATGAGCCGCGGGAGACGACTCACTACCTTGCAGTAGTCTATCTGCGATGCTGTGCAAGGTACGAGACACTCTGCGTTCCAGGCAGCAACGCAGCAACCCAGCACGCGCAATTGGTACAGTACAGCTGCAAAGCTCGTTGTTAGTAAACTTGATCGACTTTATTGTCGACATCGACTTAACCGTCGCAAGGGAAGGGATTGCTGTACCCTTCTCGCGATAAAATTATCTCAGGCAGGCACCGCAGGAGGTAGGTGGGGACAAAAGAAGATGAAAAGTACGGCATGGATAACCCCTCGTGTGTGACCCCGGACGGTGCGTCTAGCTAGTTGTAGTGAAAGTACGCTGACAAGTGTAAGTGCACATACGCGGCAAACATGCAGTTGTAGTGTGCACCGAAGAGGAGTAAGCAGGCGGCGCCAGAGATGGACGAAAAAAAAAGGTACAGTACTTTGCGGAATAATATTCGAACGGATTTTCCACGACCTTGTATGCATTCCTGCTCCCCGCTGGAAGTTGTAAATATTTCTCCAAATCAACAGCGGACGAACATGCTCGCCTCATAATAAACAGGAGTAACTTCGAGCTGGTACCTCCAACGATCGGCACCTAACAGCAGCACTGACACAGACAAAAATGAACATAGGTATTGCATAGCTTACACAAATGCACTTGTTGTGCTGCTGCTTTGCTATAATCGCTATGACTCCCATCTCTCTTACTTACTTCTATTCGGCAGTGCATGCATGCGGGAAAAACGCCATGGATGGCGCTAGGCACCAAAAAGGCTCTCTGCTTGTTTGCCCCTAGGACAGCAGAAGTTTTGTTTCCGGGTGACCCCTCCTGACACACGAAAGAAACAGGGATAACAAAGGTATCCGCCACGAGTTGTGTCCATGCTCCGTCTTGTGTGGAGATTAACACCGACGAGGAGGCTGTAGTACGCTCAGAAACGCGAGAGCGTTTGGCAGCCTGCAAAAAAAAAAACGCCGAGTCTGTCTCTGCCGGGATAATCAGAATTCCTTCCTAGTTGTTTTGCCCCAGGCGCAAAGATTTCGTTCTCCGATTACATCCCTCTCCCCACACGCCAAGGTAACAGCAGTGGCGATGACAGACGCCACAAGCTGTGTGTGTGGCTACCTTCCCTCGTCAATGTGGTCTTGTCCCCCCAGCGGTGTTGCGTGTTTTTTTAGCTTACCGAGTGCTTCCTCTGTAACTGCGTGTGTGTACAGATCCCGCTTTGCGTTCCTTTTCCTCTCGTCAAACTCCCGGGGACGTTTCGATGATTTTGGTAGCAAATGCGTGTCAAGCACGGTCATCTGTTGTCAGAGCGCGATGAAATCGGTGTGTCGGAGATTGCCCTAATTTAATTCCTCCTCGCAACCCCACACATCGTAAATCGGTGCTCTACTGACCTCGTTCTCGTCAAATAAAGGGATAATGATTTGACGTACGATTCCCCGGAGGGTTTAGCGGAAGGGTCGCTCTACAGCGCGATGGTTGAAAGAGCCCGATATTTAGAGCCTTTATTTCCCTCCAGGGGATAAAGAGAAAAAATGTCGCGCTTCGCGCTCCGCTGCTCATTTTAGTGTAGATAGACTTCAGCTGTATGGTCCCTGTAATAGTGTCAAGGTCTTTAGCTCGCCATATACCAGGCTCCGGCACCGGGCCCGGGCACCTGGCCAGCAATACTCAGAGTTTCAAAGAAAAATCGAGTATTCCATCTGCGTCCCCCAATTTCTTCGGCGCTACAATATAGTCTACAGGGCGACCGGCCTCGTAATGAGGGCTCACACTGCTGTATCTTGTCTGTGGCATCGATGACTGACCTGCTCAGATTGCCAAGAGGGGAGAGGATTCGTGAATCACGAAGATATACTAAAAAACGACAATTCGAACCATACTCAATCGCACCTTCCCTACAACATTTGCACCACCTGGTATCTACGCCAACGCATCGTTCAGGGGAACAGACCGCAATGTGCCACAGAGTGACTGCGCTCGTGAACTCTGGTATATATGGCCATCCCAACCTGACCCCCCCTTCCCCCTTTTGCTGTCCCCTCTCGCTGCCGGGATGTCGTGTCGAAAACGCTGGGTGCGTTTCGACACAGGGAGAACGTTTGGCTCCCTTTCATCATCCATTCCACGGTGCTGAACGCGATATTTTGCGTGAGCGTGGTGGGCCCAGACGCCCTGTTGGCCGTGTACCGTGAGGCTTCCCCTGTCGACCTCGGTCTCGTGTGCACCTTTTCTTTCCTCTGGGGGTCCGGCACTGCTTGCTTCTCGTTAGGGATACAGCTGGTGAGTGATATACATCTTCGGCGCACGCACACCCCATCATGTTATTCATCGGTTTGGTCAGGTTCTCGTTTCGGCAAGATAGGCAGGCAGCCGAGGGAGTATCTCTGTGTGTCCCACGCGGCACCCCTCACGCATGCAGTGCAGCAGATCACGGCAACTCCGAGCATCTGCTGCGCGCCGCCGTTGTTAGGTTTTGGTCCGGGCCGTATGCATGCAGAGCCAGGTACCACACACACAGAGCTCTGTGCCTTTTTTTAATGTGCCCCATCCCAGCAACGGCACCTCGATACACGCATCAAATTGACGGTTTTGAAGAGCGTAATCGTACCGCCGCTAGAGTACGCCGGACAAGTATGGGAAGGAAATAAGAAGGTAGTGAAAGAACTCGAGGCGGCGCAGATGAAAGCAGCGAAAATCATCCTAGGATGCTCCAAGCGCACAAGTAATGCAGCCGTGAGGGCAGAATTGGGGATCCAATCCCTACGGTCGGGAAGAGACGCGAGGAAGCTGACATGGCAGTATCGCATGTGCGGGATGGGAGAGGAGAGGTTGCCGAGAATTGTATGGGAGGCGAAGTGGGCAAACAAAAAGAGGGGTAGACAACCCACGGAATGGGTCAAGGTTGTAGAGGACGTATGGAAGGGGCTCGACATCGACGAAGATGAAACGCTGGAAACGGAGGGTCTACAGGGGTTCAAGGAGAAGATATCTGTTGCTTGTGCCGAGAGAGAAGAACAGAATCTGAGGAAAGAATCCAAGGATAAGGAGGGTCTAGAAGTGTACGGAATGTTGAAGGAAGGAATAGGGTTCAAGGACTACCTACATGGACCAATGGATGCAGGAACAAAGCTTAAGGTCAAATTCAGGACCGGGGACATAGGCCTTCGAGAACGTCGACGAAGACATAGGACGGTAGACGAGGAAGACGACGAGTTCAAATGCGATTGCGGCTTCGAATGCGAAGACCGTGTTCATGTAGTCGCGCAATGTCCGTTGTACAAGAAGGAGAGGCAAGTGTACGTGACCGAGCTGGGAAAATTAGATGGAACGTACAGGGAGATGTTTGAGGCATGGAATAGAGAGGAAAGGACGGTAGCTGTAGTGGGGCATAGGAGGTGGGTTGAAAAGGCGGGAAGGGTTATCGTTAGGATAGACAGACTAGGGAAGACATTTTTGAGCCACCTTTGGCAAAGTAGAAAGGAACGATTGGCCATCGGTGATCGGTCCTGTGGGAACAATGCTCCGTCCTCTCGAGGACGCGTGGTCAATGGTCTAACCGCTAAGGCATGCAAAACATTAGAGTACGCCCCCCCCCCATCCCAGCACTGCTTCTACACCCCGTGGCCTTCCTTGCCCGTTTCGCCTTGACGTATGTACCCCGCTCAGCTGGGGGCCGGACCGGGCACGGCTCTGGTCATGTCGCTCCTCGTCGTGATCGGGACTCTTCTGCCGTTGATCGAGGACCACGCGGACGACGCGGGTTCACCTGCAGCACTGGTCACCTTGCTCGGCCTTCTGTTCGCCATCAGCGGTTTCGTCTCGTCGGGTCCGTGCTTCGGGACAGGCGTAGCAGTCGAGATGATGGCCAACGTGACCAAGAGTAGTTTTTTTAAGAAGTTACACCATATTCATTGTGAAGATTAACGATATTATTTTAGAACGCAGGTTGCTGCTTGTTGTATCTGCCTAGAACAGGAGGGGGGGGGTACCGTGGAAAGGTGAACCATTGTTGCGTGGCAGCGTCCATCGTGCTTATATGGCGCGGGATTTGCTGTGCTCTCATACATGCGTCTCCCCCTCCTCTCCGTGCTACACGGGCGCTTTTTGGCGCTTTTTGCATGCGTCGTTCCAGCGCTATCCTCGGGCATCAAGGCTCGCGCGATCGAGGCCGCACAGAGCAAGGCAAAGGCTGAATCGGGCGCCGACGAGCAGGCCGATCGTGTCGAGGCATCCACCGCAGCCGCCGCGGTAGCTGCACCCGGCGCGACCGGAACTCCCCACGCCAAAGCCGTGACGGGCACAACCCAACCGGGGAAGGGGACGACGCCGGCGCTGACCAAGGAGGCTTCCGACGAAACACAAGGGGCGGGAGAAAAGACCAGCCACTTGACCGCCGTCGCCGTCTGCGTGGCGGGCGCGGTCATGTCTTCCATGCTGCAGTTCTCGTTCGTCTACGGTAAGCGACCGGTTGTGGCGTCCTTGCACACATGTAAGCACCACCCCGATATCTTGAGGCGCCGTTGCAGGTGCAGTTCGGCTTCTTCTGTATTGGCTTTTATGTTGTAAATTTTATCACGCCTGACACACGAAGACCAACCTGCTCTTGCTAGCCCCTGACTGTCTTGCAGAGCGTATTCTACTACTGTCTGGCAATGTTCTAGTGCTCATTCTCCAAGCTGGAGAAACCGGAATGACATGTTGTGATCTACAACAGGGAGGGTTAGAGGGGGGCGTGAACACGCCAGTCGACAAATATGACTAGGGGGAGATGGTGACTATTTTCTTGGTCGGTCCACAGGAGGAATCATCCAAGCACGCGATGAACAGCAAGCATTCCAGGATCTCAAAAGTGCATCTTTCCTCCAGGTCTCCAGCTCTGTATCGTTGTCTATCCTGGCTTCCACGCTGCCTTCTTGTTTTGCCAGAATGCTGCATCCGTTGACCTCACTCTTTGGAGCATAGGTGTTGAGTACATGACGGTCTTTTGCGGACACAACCCCCCAAACACTATTGGGCGGCGCTTCTTACCCCGCGACCCTTTCTCTCCCCCCGTGTGCTCCAGGAGACCCGCTGATCACGCACGCAGAGGAAGAAGAGGGAGTGTCCGGCGCTGCGGCACCCCTTGTTGTGTGGCTTCTGGCCTTCTCCCTGGCGGCCCTGTGGAACGTGGCGTACGCGGTCTATCTGCTGTCGAAGAACGAAACGTGGGCGCGGTACACGTGGGTGGGATGGTCGGACGTGGCCCGGAAGTCTCGCAATGTGAGAGAAAGGACTTGACTGGCTACTGCTTGCGCGAAATTTGCAGTGTGGAAGGAAGCACGCTTCCTCGGCCATCAGGCCGTAGCAGGGCACGCTGCGCACCCCATGCCCAAGGACTCGGCTGCGCTTGCTACCGTCCGGTGCTACGCCGCTATTCGTGGATGGTGTTCTCATCGCAGCTGGTTGAGGTTTATTTTTTACCGTGCTTGTTTCGGGCAGTGTTTCGGTCTTGCTTACTGGCCCTTGGAACCAGCGAAGCCACTTCTTTTCACATCGCACATCCTTGCCTCTGTCCTCGGCCGCTTCTCCCGAAGGCGCCGGAGAACCGTTGTTTATATATTTATTGTTTTGTGTCTTCGCTGCACCGTGGTCTGGTGGATGGCTCTCAAGTATCTACTGCTTGCCAGTGGGCGCTAGTGTCCCTGTTAGGGACAACCGTCACGACACCGATTTCCGGTTGCCAGAAGGTTCAGACCACAACAACAACCGCAGCATCGTCGTTTTTGGCCACAACATTTCGCGCGCAGCACACACTCGAGACACCGGTCTCAACTCCCTCGGCAATCGAATGCTCTCCCGCGCTGCTGGCGTTTTGCTCGCGCAGATAACTGTCATGAGCTTATTCTTCGTGGGGCATATCCACTTTTACGGACAATCGCAGCACCTGTTCGGGGACCTTGGGCCCGTTGTCGCGTGGCCTCTGATCATGAGCTCCACGGTGAGATAAGGCTGTCGTAAAGCGGGGTTGCTGCTTCGGATGTCCACGACTTTGCGACCCAGTTTTGTCTTTCAACGAACCACCCTTTTGTAAACGCGCCCCGGCAAAAGATTCTTCGCTTTTGGCAGGCTGTTGCGAAAGCCCATTTGGCTTCATGTGTACCCTAGGGTAGCGATTCCGGAGTGTCCCACCCGGCTGGTACCCCAGCTGTGTCGAAACATCCCAGCATGGGGTATGCAACAAGAAGAGACTCAGAATTGCGTCACGCTACGTGAAAGCCTCACCTAGCCCGATCGGTTCATGTACAAAAATGTTACGCTCTAAATGTTCTTCTACTACCTTGTTCAGCCCCTTTCCGAAAGTGTTAGGAACTCCCTGTGCGCCCGCCGCGTGCCGTTGATCAACACAGGTCCTGAGTGGGCAGATATGGAGCGTGTTCATGAAGGAGTGGGCGGGCGTGCCGCCGCTGGCCATGAAGGTTAACGTCGCATCGATTTGCCTTCTCGTCGCGGCTGTCTCGATCATCGCCATCGCCGGAGCGGTGTTGTAGCGCTGAAAGACTCGAGAGGGTCGGTCGGCGGTAATGTTCAACTTGATACTACAATTTGTTTTTGAAACGTTGTTTTTTGTGTTCGTTATTTACGGCAACAACAGCGGTGGCGGTGAAAAGAGTGCTTCGCCACATCGGAGCGCCCCCTGTTGTGCCTTTCTCGACACAAACCTGTGCTTGTGGGAACGATAGATCGTCGGTCTTCGGAAACGGTCTCCAGACCGGCGCGTGTGTGTACGGCAACGGCCTACATGTCGCTGTCGGGGTGTAACTTTTTGGCGCTTTGCTTCGGTTGGGGCGGTTTTCAGGGTTACGTTCGGGTGGTCTTTATAGTCTCTTGTCGAGAATGTGACGCCGACCTCTCCGCCGAATGGACGAAAACAGAAGTCGTTTGTTGAGCCACAGCGTGTGTACAGCCGTAGGTGGACGGGTGTTGTTTATAATTAATCGTGTGGAGTTGCTAGACAGCCCCGATAAGAGGCGTTACCCGAGAGGTGTCGGTCGGAAGTCGGATTTTGTCGGGAGGTGGAACAGCTTTGACGGAGAGAAGATAGACGGACACCGGGCTATTGCGTGAAAGTCTTACGCAATTGGACAGGCCGTAAGAATCACATGGTGTGTAGGGGAACGGTTCTCGATTGAAATGTCCGTGAGTATTGGTATTTGCCGAGACGATTTTGTAGGTGTGTGTGTGTTTTCCCAAGTTTTGCTTTGTGAAAGGGCGGGTTGGGCGGGGGTTGGATGTAGCTGTCGTAGTTGCTGACTTTTTTCCCCCCGGAAGTGCGTGTCATCGGGGCACTATAATGGAGCCAAATAAATTATTTACACGACGCTGGCAGCATGCAAGTCGCTGGTGCCGTCTGTTGGTAGATTTAGTACTTGGATTTGGGTAAGGGTTATTGAGACGATCATAATGGCTTCTAGGGAGAGGAACGACACACAAATGCCCTTCTGAGTGAATCACAAAGACGCTGGGATATACCTTGAATTGTATTTATCTGTTCAGCTCGGCAGACCAACGGCGTTTGGCTTGGCCAACACCTGGTATAGGTGGGACTCACACCAGAGAGAGCAATAGCAGAGCAAAGCAAACGTCAAGCTCTCGAGCCGCATCTTCTTTTCTATCCATTTAATCCACCAGTGGGCTTGTGCTGCAGGCCCTCTTTGTTTAGGGGTTCAGCGCATTAGGCCATGAGTCTTCCTTCTTCGGCACCACGCAGGAAGATCCAAGTTGATGCAGTTTTATCCTGAAAAAGGTTGGTTTCTGTTGCGGTGAATGTTGGCTCTGTTTTCTCACCCGGTGTTATTTTCAGCCGTTTTCTTGACCCCTCCTGCTTTCTCGGAGCTCATGAAAGCTACGCGCACGCGGCAGTGTCTCCGCTCGCCCATCTCTCGCCTTACCTCTGTTGGAAACTCAAACAAAGCACTTGCGTTCCGGAGTGAATCGGTACTAAGCATTACTTGATATTTGCCCTCCCTTCGTGATGGAGGTTAATCTAGGCCCCAGCCGATTTCTCTGAGCCCACAACGTATGTATATCTACACAAGCGAGCTCGCGGTGGTATTGACGGTCATACCAGTCCTGGGCGGGGCGCTGATGTTTTGGCGCGTAGGTACACCGCTAGCGCAGCGAAAATATAACAAAAAATAGCCCTCCCGCTAGGCGGGAGAAGTAGGCGGGAGCAGTGACTCCCTTACAAGTTGTTTTTTGTGGGGCTGTCTCCGCAACTGGGCAAGCAAGATAGTTACCGGTGCCGTTCCATGCGCCAGAACAGAATAGACTTCCTCCGCAACTCTTGTGGAGTCTGGTGGGCTGGGAAGCAAGCACGACCACCAGACCGCAACTACGTGAGGTACGAGCAAATTCCAAGTAAGTCGGATTTTCCGAGATCGGGCATGAGATACGGGAACGAACATGGTCGTGATCTCGAATTGTTCGGTCAGCAGGAAATGGTGTCAAGTCCAGAACTGAATTTGGCCATGCCCCGCAACAGGGGACAAGCCCATACCCATACCCTCTCCCTTTTGAGCTTCCCTTGTTCTACGATCTCCCCATTTTCTATGCTACGTCATAGTCTGCGCACAAACTAGGCCGACGTTTGGTTTGTCGGAACTGGTTTGCGCAGCATGTGGCATGGCGCTAAGGAAATCGCATCCCCCCTCCCCAAGACCTACTCGTGGCCTCTCACGACAGAAGGCGTTGTGAGGTCCTCTAGGCTAGTCCCTGCACATGTGAAGACTGCTGCATGGTCAAGCATTTCTCACCAAGGCCTTTCGCCTACACGCACCACGATCAAGCAGACGGTGCATTCGTGTCAGCTTGGCGCTCTAGTTTTACGATGCAGAAAGGCTTGTACACACAGCGCATGCACCAACACGCCCACCATACAAACCTACACGGCGAAGGACACGAGCGCCGAAATGCAAGAACCTATTGCACCATCTTGCGTAGAACAGTCGATATGCTCCTGTACTCAACATAAACTTCCGTCGAAATTGACCTTTGATCCAAACTATGAAGCTATCAGTTCGCTCCATTTGGAGTTGTTTGTGCTGCACCAGCCGCTGCCTCCCTAGCCTCTGCTCTTGTTCTCAGCGTTGGCGCGAGAGCACTGCCGAGCATCAGCTCTGAGGGATGGTACAGCAGAAGAGGCGTCGCCATCATGCCCAAAGAGGGATGCCCTTCGAACAACGCCTAACGTTGGGCAAGACCGAGTTCAACACAAGTTGCAGGGAGGTTATTGAATTGTCAGCAATCGGGACAGACCACGAGCTTCTCTTTTGTGAATCATGTGTATCGTCAAATGTGCCTGAATGACGACTTCAAGATGTTCCAGGCAAAGCACGGATCTACGGACGCCGAGCAACGTGTTTTCGGAGTCCCGCACGTAACTTGGACGGAAGCAGCGAAAGTGGAGCGGGGTGTACCGTGGCATGCGCAGTAGTCTTCGCGGGGTTGTTCGGTTAACTAAACATTTTGAATAAAGCATGCAATCGGAGAAGTTGGGCTATGGCTAGGGTTAGGGTAGGGGCTGCGTACCCCCTCCCTGTTCTATTTCCTCATAATCTTGTTCATCTCGCGAAGGCGGTCCGGAATACGGGGGTAATGCAGGGAGCTAAGAGGTGCATGACCTCCTGGCACAAAGATGAAGAGGACACCAGCCGACAACGTGCGCTCAAACGAAACAACAGCCAAGTAATAGCACAGGCATGGCTACTACCAATGAGGCGGGAGGGGGGAAGCAGACGGACGAGACGGCGAGGGAAGAAACAAACGACGAGCGGCGAAGTGGCGCGATATGTGTCGGATTGAACCCTTGACTATTCTCCCCCCCTCCCCATCTCTGCACCATTGCACCAACCCACGAATATTGAACGTGACTTTGCTATCTCTGGTGGCCCTCCTTTCTGTTCGTTTGCTCGTTACAGTAGGGGTTTTGGCGCGTGTTTTTCTGTTTTCCTTCTTTCTTTCTTCTTCTTTTCCTTTTCCAGATAACCTTCTCTCTTCGTTCTGCGCGGTACTAAGATTGAACCAGGGAATATACCTACCTCTCTAGCCCGTGATGTTGACTTCTAATCTCATGTTTACCTCGCATAGCGTGTAGAGGCGAGGGGAGGGCTCTACACCTCCTATCGTTGATTTTTAGTGGCTTGCGGAGCCTTCGGGTCCACTATATTTTAGTACGCCTGTCAAGCGTAAGTTAGCCTGTGACCACGGGAATCGCCCCCGTCAAGTGTTAGATTAGTACGGACAGATGAAGATACCGGATAGAGAAATCGGAACGGTTTTAAGTGTAGACAACTACAACAACATCTGCAGTCAGACTTCTACTTCGGTGAAGGTTGGAGCACGGATGTATCATGCTTCGGCCAGTATCAAACGCCATCATGATCAGGAATGCTCAAGAAACCCCCCGAGCATGTTGTACGGATGGGGGCTGAACGCATTAAATATTTATAGCGCACCAGTACCACCAAGTCATTGTTGTAGACAGCTGCACCCCACTTAGGTGCTGTTCGTACCTTTATCAACGGGATGCCGAATGCGAGAGTCTTGTGCGTGCCGCAGAACATTACCGCAATGCGATCTCTTTCGTCAATCTGCGATAGAACCGGGGTCGGAAAGCAGGTGCACCGATGAAGCGCACGATTGACACCGTGCAAGAGCGTAATCGAGCCATGGCTTAGCGAGGATACTACCCTCGGCACACCATGGTTGCCTGCAGAAACTCTTGCGGTACAAGAGGGCACCTCGACAATAGTCGGAGTATGTCCGATACTTCCGCCAAGCCTGACGAACGCAACTAATTGCACTATCAGGCAGGCAGGCATCATGCCACCGAAACCTTACACGGGGCAACAAAGGTAACAGCACGCACCTTTAGAAACGGCACACGCGAGAGTGCGTCCAAAGCCGCGAGGCTCAACAGGTGAACGATGGGTAACACTGCCATCAGTACCAGAACCCCGCCCCCTCCACCACCAGCGGCGGTTCCCGCAACGCCTGCTTGCAACATCGGATATCGCGGAGGTCAAGAAGAGACAAGCGAGCGAGCGGACATGATGTGGATGGTGTGTTAGAAACCTTGAGGTACTTTGTGACGCGAGTCGTTGGGCTGCTGTAGGAGGCGGTTGCTATGAATGAAATCGTCAAATGAATGATTTTGTTTATTTCGTCGATAGGTGTGTGCCCTCGGGGGTGAGTCGGAATCGGAGAGTGTCGACACACATGCCGTCAAGTGTGCATCACGCGATCATCCAAAGTCATCACCCGAAACGACGCGATAATTAACACAAGCCAGACGGTTGGCCATAAACAAAACCAGGCGCATGCGTCAACACTCACCCGCGCTGTTTTTGAAAGTGTCGCAGAACGTGGTGTAGATGATGCTCAGGAGGACGCACTCGGAAAAGCGCGATATGGCCTTGGGCTTGCGCTCGTGCAGCTCCCGCAAGGGCGTGAAACGAGCGAGCTGGCCAAGCGCCAGCGGTAGCACCACCTTTTCCACGAGTGGATCGGGTGTATTACCATGAACGTAGAGTGCGAAGGATGCGGAGGGGGTGGCTAACTGTCGTTTCTAGTGGACTTCTAGCGGACAGTGCTGTAGGTTTCGGACCACGAACAAAGATTGGCTCTGTAATCGAACGTTTGGTGTACGTTCATTGCAACCTTGGTTTAGATCTGTGGCGACGGATACCCGGCTGTAAGAACACTGACAGCAGCGTAATCTACACCTCATCCCCAACATGACTGGCGCGCACCTTTATTCCTAGCTTTTTGAACGTAGCCAATAGGGATGGAGCCATGTCCAAGCGACGCCCAAGGAGCAAAAGCAGGAGAGCAGGGGTGATAACAACCCCCAATAAGTTGCCGAGCACCGCGTTGAAGGCCGCTGCCGCCGTGTTGCCTGCACGGGATTCGGGTCCATTTGCAGCACAACGCCGAAACGTATCACGCAGCTACGGGCCCGGCAACCGACTCAAATCCCAAACCATTCTACGGTGAACCCTGTTTGATGAATTCTCCACCCAGCACGGAGGCTGCCTTCTAGGCCTAAAGGTGCACCTTCAAAGGTTTTCGCTCTACCTCGGCCAGAGTCAACACAGGCGAGGAGTACTCATGCCCAACGGCACGGAGCACAGGATTGATACGAAAGCGGACACGACGCGGCATGTCTGACGTACCCAACGACTGGACACGTTCTTGCAGCTGATTCACACATCCACACGCACCTTCAGCGCTCTGCGTCAAAATGACGCACATATTGACAGTCGTTGGAAGGCACATCAAAATCAACACGCCATCCGCGAGCGCTGGATGTATTCCGCCTGCGGCCAGGACGCGCGAGAGCCCTATGCCCACCGCGGGGAGAACACCCAAGGAGAAGGCCTGGGTCAGCAAGTTCAACCTGAAGTTTAGGGCGGCTCCCGCAAGCTCGCCCAGCTTGATGGCGAGACCAACCAAGAAGAAGACCAA